TATTGAATAGAGTGCAACATCTATTTTAGGTTGCTGTATGTTTCTTTCCAAAATTAAAATATATAAACAATTGATAAGACCAATCGTTTTATGCGGTCCTGAAACGTGGAGCACAACTAAAAGAGATGACCCCTTATCACAAATTTTCGAGAACAGAGTGTTACGACGAATCTTTGTACTTATCAAAGATGCAAAGAGCGGCAAATGGAAAGTGAAAATCAGCAAAGAAATTCATATCTATTAAAATCACTACTGATCACTGGCATCATGAGAGCTAATAGACTGAAATAGCTGGGGCATATTGAAAGAATGTCAGATGACAGAGAGATAAAATCTGTTACACAAATGAGCTAAATTGTCGCAGACCACGAGGCAGACCAAGAAGACGATAGAGAGATAACGTCCAGACAGACCCGCACACACTTGGTGTCACCAACAGGAAATCGATGACCAACCAGAGAGGTGAATAGGGGTGAGTGATATCTGAAGCAGTGAACCTCAAGGGTTCGGAATGCTGAAGAAGAGGAAGGAAGAATATGTTTCTTTCATAAAGACAGCGTTCCTGAACTGGAACAAATAGAAATTGGCTGTACCACACAAACTGCAAACAGCATCGATACATTCTCTCCTTTCATCCTCGTTAGTTTTCTTACACAGGTATTACAGCCTATATTTAGTGCCGAGACCTTCCCTGGGTGCCCGATCTTGCATTCGAAATAAACACGCTACATATTTTTGTAAACATTGCTGCGAAAACCTTTTCTAGCCTGCAAATGCAACTTCCATGCAGATATAACAAAAGGGTGTGATCTACTATAATCTCCGCAACCGAACTAGGTCACGGTCCATTGACAGATTTTGTTAGACTCGTCTGCTGTCCAGGGGGAGGGGTGGTTGTTGGGGGGGGGGGGGATTTGGCTTGTTATGCATTTACGTTTTTCTTCCGAGAAAAAAAATGCCTGTGACATAGGTTGCAGCACTCTCTAGGGGAGTTGTGGGTTAGAACCAGTTTGTTAATGTTTTTGTAGTGTTAAAAGCGCTGGCGTGCTTGAATATAAGAACGCATTGCCGAACACCCCTCTTGCAGCGTGCAAAGGTCGGGTGACTGGAGGTTATCTTCAATGTTAACACAGTTAAGACACTTGCGAGGCATCTCCACTGCTGGATTTCAGAGATGAAAAAACCTGTTTACACTTCGAGAGTTTGCTTTCAAAAACAAAAACAAAAACTAATGATTACATCATTAGTTAGTTAGTTAGTTAGTTATTCCTCTTGTGCCAAAGATGGCGCATAAGGCAGAGGTCATAGCTTTCCACGTCTGTCGGTTCTTTGCCACTTGATGTAGGTCTTGAGTGCGACTGAGACCCATGGTTGAGCTCTCCCTTGTGATGGTTCTACGGAGAGTTTCTTTTGGTCTTCCCTGTTTTCTTTTACCCTCTGGTGACCATATGAAGGCTTGGTGGGGAAGTCTCTGTATGTCCATTCTGAGTACGTGCCCGATGTAATTCCAGCGACGCATTCTAATAAAATCAGACACATATTTTTGTTTTGTTTCCTGTCTTATACATCATTACATCATTACTGGTTAACAATACTTCCCTCAATTTGTGTGTACGTTTGGCTGATGCAATTCCCGAAAAATGTTGCATTCTGAAAATACGGCATTTCGAAAAACGTACATTTTTGCTATATGCAGACTGCACAGTTTATATATGACCATCTTTTAATCTCTAAGTATGAGCCAGTCAATAAATTCTAGTGTCATTTTCATGTTCGGTATACCAAAATTAGTAAAGATTTGTGGTTTTTATGTCAGTACCATGTTATCCAGTGTAATTGCACTGTTCGTGTGTCAGTGAAAAACAACACACAATGCCTATCCCACTTGAAAAGGTAAAAAAGCAGAAACATTGCAAAATGCACAAGGCAGCCACCAGAGGTGTCAACATGAACAGTTCTTCACTATAACTGCACTGCATCACTTATGGAAGCAGCAGTCACGACAAACCAGCCAGTGTACATGCATTACCACATAAGGTTGATCACCAGTTCTACAGGAACCTTCGATTAGCGATTTTCTGAATGTGCAGCTCACTACACAAATCTCACAATGGTATACTGTGCACTCAGCAATAAGCTGGCAGACGCAACCATATTTCACCTTTAATTGAATTGTTGTCGCATCTAGTTTTTTCGCTGGCGGTTAAACCCCTAAAAGTTTTTGGAAGACATGGTCCCCGGCGTGGTGGTGAGGTACGTTTGAATAGAATACGCTAAGATATTTTAGGAGCAATGAGTTTATCGACTGTTCATCAAATTCTTGAGGCATTTGTTTTCCAATAAATTTGAAGTTAGCCCCACGTCTTTAATAGTTCACCGACTTTCGCTGGAATGTCATTTGAACTGAAAATGCATAACTTATTTCAAAACTATAATTTAGAGTTCTTATTTTGCTCAGGAAACGCACAAAATAGTTTCTTTCTGTAAATGCCTTTGACAGGGATTTTCTACAGCCCTCAGCAAATTTTTGAAAGGTAAAACTGTGGCCAGTTTCGGAGATGGCCCTGGCCTGTACAAGAAGCACATCGATTCTCTTGGTGAGGTATCCAGTTACATTGCCTATGACGGTGCTCCATTCTGTGAGACAGTTACTGGTGGTCTCGTGAGTATTTTGTTTGCTTTATTATTCATGTCCTTGAAAAAAAAAACATGTTAACCAGTAGCAACGTTTCTGTAAACTTCGTTAAAACTCTTGAGTTCAAGATTTCTTCAATTCTGGACTTAAGCCTTGTACCAGAACTTGAGTTTTGTGTTCACATATATTTTAACAGATCTGGCTTATTTGTAGTCAGGCTGTTGGTTTTCCTTGCCGACAGGCGAAGTGATTGTCAGGGAAGCAATGGGGCTATTCTCTCTCTCTCTCTCTCTCTCTCTCTCTCTCTCTCTCTCTCTCTCTCTCTCTCTCTCTCTCTCTCTCTCTCTCTCTCTCTCTCTGCCCCCACCCCCCATAAAATTCCCTTGACTGTAAAATGTCCCAATCATTGTGTCGTTCAGCTAAGTTCATAATTTGCAGTAATGGAGGCCACATCCCTTTTCTCTATTCTCGTGAAACACTTATCTTGCTGTCTCAAGCTAACCTTCCATTTATTGAGTTTTGAGACATTGGGTATTCATATTTATCGTAAGATCGATGGAATGTTGAATGTTAAAGTATTGATCGACATAATAGCACTCGGGACACTCCCATAAGCGCCCCTTCCTTATCAAGCAAAGAGTTATAATTCTGATAGCATCAGTAACTGTCTAATTGTTTATATTAATCTCGTCATTCCCTTGGATGTTGTGCGTCGGCCATCCCTTGGAGCGCCATTTTCCTCATACCGTAATGATCTATTCGTAAGATCGATGATTTGTTTCCTGTCTTTTCAAGCTGCACGTTTGTGTGTGGCTTTGCAATGCTGTTTTTGTAGACTAAATAATGTATATTTTCATTCTACCTTAAGCACAACAACTGTACAGTAGAATCTCACTTAACGAGCACCTCTCATAACGAGTAATTCGCATAACGAGGAAAACAAATTGTGAAAAAAATGACTTGCTTAACGAGCGACGTTTCGTATAACGAGTGGCGAGGAGAAGGGAAGTACCGAATTGTGTGCTTGTTACCTCAGTCTGTGTTTAGCACTCGTTCCAGTAGCATCGTAGTGTCGCTTGTGATCAGACATTTTCTCAAACTTTTGTTATATTGTGATATATGTACATGAATCCTCTAGGTCTACAAGATGACCTCTCTAAAACATTAAGTTCATCAAGATCCAGTTTCTGCCTCCCAACACTACTCTGTTACTCCAGCCCATGACCAGCAAGTTATTTTTAACTTTAAGAAGCTCTACACTAAAACACTCTTCGAGCATTGTTTTCAGGTGACTGTAGGGACCAACCTAACTCTCAGAGAGTTTTGGAAAAACCACTTCCACATCGTTGCATGCCTCAAGATGATCGACAAGGTGGTGAAAGGGGTTATCAAGAGAACCCTAACTTCTGCTTAGAAGAAGCTTTAGCCGGAGAGCGTTATCGATTTGTGACTTTGAGGGGTGCTTGAGACAGTGCCTGTGGAACCTGTAGTCAACGAAATTGTGTCTTTGGCCACTATCATGGGATTGTAGGTGGATAACAGTAATATTGAAGAGCTTGTGGAAGAGCACAGCCAAGAGCTTACCACCCAAGAGCTTATGGAATTGCTTTGTGTTTCACAGCAAGAGGTTTTGGAGGAAAGTTTGTCAGAGGATGAGGAGGAGGTAACAGAAAAGCAACAATCTTCTGGCGAAATAAGAGAAATGCTGAAAGCATGACAAACTGTTGCATCTTACATTGAGAAGCATCACCCTAATAAGGAAGTGGCTATGCGCGTTGCAAATTTTTTTAATGATAATGCTGTGTAGCATTTTCGCCAAATTTTGAAGCGTCAGCAAAAGCAAATGTCTCTGGACATCTTTCTAATCAAAAAGAAAAAATAATTAGCTATGTATCATAATTATTTCTACTTTTTTTCTGCAAATCGAATTCGCATTCTAGGTGGGTTCGTTCCGCGTTTGAAGAAAAGATGAAGATGATTCACTCTCCTTAACAATTTGGATATAATTTTCTTTGAATAAACGTTATACATAGCCTTTTGTGAGTATTTTTTTTTCGACATGGAACGCATTATCGTATTTTACATTAATTTATATGAGAACAATTGTTTCGCATAACGAGTGTTTCGCTTAATGAGTATGATTCTGGAACGAATTATGCTCGTTAAGCGAGTTGCCACTGTATTTCTAATTTTCCTAGAAGCATTCACCCTACTTCCTACCCCCGCCTCCCCCCTCTTTCTTTGTTAGCTGGAGGAGCACGTAGTCTCAAAGCACGGTGTCCGCCTCGGGGGCTAGAGGTTACATCCCCGGTAATGGCTGGGATTTTTTTAACTTGGACTTGGACTTCTAGTAATTCCCCCTGTCTCCTGGTAGTGAGAGTGGACGCCCGTGCATTGTTTGTGCACGTAAAAAAATCCCTTGTCAGTTGAAAATTGAACAAAGTAGCCTAACGACGCTGCCTGGCAAAATTTAGAGTTAAAAATTTACCCAAAGTATTTCAGGATCCTCACTGGTGCTACAGAGCCCATGCACTGTGCTGAGCTTCTTCGGACTCAGACTTGAGTTAGAAGAAGAATGGAGCACTTATGGGTTACTACCCGTGCGCCATAATGTTGATCCTTTGTTGATGACGTGGAATTTGAATTCTTCTTCTTCTGCCTTTCTATCCCCCAATGGAGCATAGGCCCTCAACCAACTCACGCCAAGTCGTTCTATCCTTCGCCATTGCATGGAGCTCTCCCCATGTCCTCCCAATCTTTCTAACCTCATTCTCCAGCTCTCTTCTCCATGTGTTTTTTGGCCTTCCTTTATTTCTATGCCCCTGTGGGTTCCAATGCAAAGACATTCTAGTTATGCTGTTCTCCTGTTTTCTCAGAGTGTGCCCTATCCAACGCCAGCGTCTTTTCCTCACCTCCTGATCCACTGGAGCCTGTTTAGTTCTCTCCCAAAGTTCTACATTAGTTATTCTATCATACCATTTTATTCCCTCTATTCTGGGCAGGCACCAGTTAATGAATGTCTGTAATTTATTAGTTATTGCCTTGGTTGTTCTCCATGTTTCCGCCCCAGACAATAGTACTGATTTGACATTAGAGGAATTTGAATTAGGTAATAGTAAAATCACCGGTTTCATACAAAAAAAAAAAAAAAAAGGAAATATTACTTAAGTGTGGTTTGACCCATCTCTAGGTGAAATTCCTAGACCTAACGGCGCCCCAGTACGGTTTACCTGCCTACGACTGGGTGGTCAGTGTGGAGGTTGGGGAGCACATCCCAGCCAAGTTTGAGGACATCTACCTGGACAACATGGTCAGACATGCCAAGGAGGGCATCGTACTCAGCTGGGCTGTCCCTGGTAAGTAATGTAACAGAATATTTAGACAAAATAAAAGAAACACATAGTTATCCGATAACGCCTTTGTATTAGTTGACAGGAAAGCCTGTAGGCCTAAAATTTATAGATGATCTAGAAATGTGAATACATTTATTATCTTTTTTTAGATTTTTTACATGTAACTGCAATTCGGTAAAATGGTGTTATTACTATTGCCCACTCAAACAAGGTGTCGACCCCTTGAATCACACTTGAAACGTTAAGTGTGGTTGAGCTTACCCCTGCCTTCATCCCCAATCACCCAGGCACGACTCCACCAAGAAATCTTGGGTGCGGTCATTACTCAAGCCGTGTTTAAGTGCGCAATAGTGATAATAAGGTTTTGAAATAGCACTGAACACTGAAATATTCAAGTAGGTAAGACATAACAAGACAAAAAAACAAATGGATACCACAGTCACTGTCAGACCGTGATACCCGCTGTTACATTATATTCTCCGACATCAGTTAGCCATTGGTATATTTATTTTGAAAGAATACATCAATCTAAAGGATTTGTGTCGGTCAATTATTGAATAATATATATGTATCTCCTGGGGTAGGAGCCTGTCCTACTACTAGGCGCGTCCACCAGGTGGCGGATGGTGGAAAGGCCTCTAGATATAGAGGTTAGCCACGAAGAGATTGAATAAGTGGCCGTGGACCAAAACAGGTGATGGTCATTGAGAGGAGGCGAGTTAGTTGGTTGGACAGCTAACTCTATAAAATACCTCAAAACTCTACGACATGGCCAACGGCGGGTAAGAGGCGCCATAACCTCCCCCCCCCCCCCCCCCCCCCCCGTTGCCTTGCAGGGTAAGTCTCTTTAGACAACGGTCTATTGGAGTCAAACCATATACAAACCGGCGGAAGCCAAGGGGAAACCACCGCTGTACTATCCCTAGTAAATCATGCCTCAAAATATTATGAATTCAGATAACGACGTGAATGGGGATTCCACCGGTAGGGAGCATCATGTTCTACGGGTGATACCCGACCGTCATCCAGCTACTGTGGAAAAAGTAAATGGTAGAAACATCCTGAACGTTGGTACATGGAATGTCAGAACACTCGTACAAAATGGAAAGCTGGATAACATCAAGATGGAAATGAAGAGAATGAACATCAACATATTATGAATTAGTGACATGCGATGTCCAGGAGCAGGGGAAAAGAATTCAGATCAGCACAGAATTATTTACTCGGGTGGGAAGGAATATAGTAAGGGGTCCAAAGAACTCAAAAACTGTGTAAGGATTTTGGACAATATCAGAAAAGAGTACTATTAGTAAAACTTCACGGCAAACCGTTTGACATCAACTTAGTACAGATTTATGCCCCAACAGAAGATAGTTCAAAGGAAGATATTGACGTATTTTATGACGAGTTAGACATGGCTGTTGATCAATGCAAAAATTGTGAAGTAACAATGGTACTTGGAGATTTCAACGCGAAAAAAGGAAGTGAAAAAGTGTATGGAATAACAGGTGGCTATGGCATAGGAGAAAAGAATATGAGAGGTGACAGATTAATAGCATTGGCTTAGTCGCGCAGCATGATAATAGGTAACACCAGGTTTAAACACCATCCTCGAAGATTGTGGACTTGGAAAAGTCCTGGTGATAATGTCCGCAATCAGATTGATTATATTTTGATTTCGAGAAAATTCCGGAGCAGCTAAGTTTGAGCAAAAACTAGACCAGAAGCAGGCTGCTTTAGTGACTATGTTCCAGTTGAAGGAAAAATTAGAATAAAAATAAAGAACATTAGAAGAACACTACAGAACATCAAGTTAAATTTAGGAATTCTTAGAACGGATAAAGAAATTAGGGTACAGTACAATGTCACTGTACAAAACCGGTACAATGCAATGGAAATTATACAGACTATTGATGAACAGTTGAATATGTTGCGTGAGTCAATTCAGCAGACATCAAAAGAGACAATCCCACCAACCCATAGAGTTGCAAAAAAGAAATGAATGTCAACCGAAATTCTGCAGTTGATGGATGAAAGAAGGAAGAAAAAGAATGATAAAGAAGAATACTCTAGAATACAAAAAGAAATAGTGAACAAATACAAAGTGGCTAAAGAAGCCTGGCTGAATCAAATGTGTACAGAGATTGGGGAAAATCAAAGGAAAGACTAACATTCCATGTACCAACAGATAAATATGTTATCAGGAAAGATGACAGCACTGGATGTTTGAAATCAAAAGATGGTGACTTTTTAATGGGACATAGTGATATAATTTACAGATGGACAGGTTTTAAAGGGGAATTGTATCATGATAATAGACCAGATGTAGAACTGAAGGAATCGGTACAAACAATGACATATACAAGGATCACCGCTATCACCAGTCTTATTCAACGTTTATACGGTGATGATCACTGAGCAGCAGTTGAATGGAAAGGGAAGGACTTTGTCATTTGCTGATGACATTTTGATTTATCGACGAGAGCGTGATAGACAGGAGATCGCCAGCACTATGCACAAAGAACTCGATCGAATTGCCGCCTGGTGTGATGGTTCCAATGCCTATGTCAATCCTTCGAAGGCATCAGTGTCATGGTTCTCTTTGAACAATCACATTGTCAAGTAGGACTTACCAGAAGTAAAAATGCGTGATAATGTATTGATCAGAACCAACGTTATGACGTTTCTCGGGGTGAGGTTCGATCGCAGCTTGTCATTCAGGGAACACGTTGACCATGTGATAACAAAAGCACGCAAAGGTCTATCTGCAATGAGGATTATGGCTGCTTCCAATATTGAGCAAAGACTACTAATACTTCTATTCTACGGTCTGGTCCTTTCCCCCATTGAATACGCTCTGGCCATCCTCACTGTCAGTGCTACCCAGATTGAACGACTCGAAAAGGTGCAAAATGAAGCCATGCGCATTATTTTGGGATGTACAAGAGACACATCCTGTGGAGCTATGAGGTATCTACTTGACTTTCCAACAATGAACCAAAGGATCAGGATGTGGAGGGCTCGGGCATATCTCAAAATATGTGCTGATAAGAAACACCCACAGCATCAAGCGCTTTTTAGTGAAAAGGGCGACAGACTGAAGAGGGAGAAATCGTAGCTAGGTCGGGCAGAAGATGTTATTAGGCAAATATGCAGCCTAACCGACATCATACCTGGTGCAGAATGGATACCTGTGCCTCAGGCGTTTATTTGTACATTTTCCTGTATTGTCACACTCAACAGGCGATGTAGAGAAGAGAATCCTGTTGCTGTTAATGCAGAGGTCAACCCTCTCATCGGTGAAAATTCGAACGAAGCAGATGCACTAATCTATACAGACGGATCCGTTATACGCCAAAGAAGAAGCGCATGGGCATTTACAACACGCTCAGCGGGCAGAACAGTCAAAGAAGCCAACGGCGCCTTCTCCATGACAACCAGCAGCATGACGATGGAGGTGATGGCAGTGACGCAAGCGCTTGCCTGGCTTGAAACACAAAAATACACCCGCGTGTGTATACTCAGTGATTCAATGAGTATGATCCGGAGGGTTCAGGCAGGTTCAGTGCGAAGACAATGGCTTGAATCATTACAGAAGTCCACTGTGCGTGGAGTCACCTTTATTTTTGTTCCGGGACACGCAGGCGTCGATGGAAATGAAAGAGCTGACAGGTTGGCTGGATCCGCTATCACTATCGACGGTCAGCCTATGGATCATGCTGATATTATTAATGCCCTCAGAGAAATGGGAAGGATAGAGGATTTTGGTGGCAGTGAATCCACATCACTCACCAGAATGGCAGACTTGGGAATTAAGATCGGTACAGCAAAAAAACGAGACGCACACCAGACACGCCAGAAGACTTGTTAATCAACATAGAACTGGTACTATTAGCCATCGAACGTTGGGGTTCATACTGAGGGGAGGCTCTGAGCACCTATGGACATGTCCGGAGTGCAATGAATTTGTACTTATGCTTCATAGACTATACAAAAGCATTTGACTGTGTGAAGCACGAAGAAGTAATCAAACTGCTAGAAAAATTAAACATTGATGGGAAAGATCAACGAATAATAAAGAATATGTATTGGCAGGAAACAGCAGCTATAAGAACTAACAACTGTTTAGGTACATTAAAAGATGTGTACTGTCACCTGATTTGTTTTCAATATACAGTGAATATATAATGAGATCTTTAATTAATATGCCCGGAATTGTGGTTGGTGGGCACAATATAAACAATTTACGTTAAGCTGATGACACAGTCTTGATAGCAACAAGTCAGAAAGAACTACAGGAAATGATAGACATTTTGGTGTTAGAAAGTGGAAGAATGGGCCTCAGTTTGAATAATGGGAAGACAGAAGTAATGGTGGTATCAAAGAAACGAATTATTCCTTAATGTGTAATAAAAGTGGATGGTGTTATTTTAGGACAAGTACAGAAATTTAAGTATCTAGGCACATGGATAACATCAGATGGAAGATGCATAACTGAGATAAGAAACAGAATAGGACAGACAAAAACTGCATTTTATAAAATGAAAAACATTTTGTGCAAAAGATCCTTGTCATTGAGAGTTAGAAAAAGAATTCTTGCTTGCTACATACATCCACTTTTAACATATCGCTGTGAATCCTGGACAATCGGTAGGCAAGCCAAACAATTTCTTGAGGCCTCAGAGATGTGGTTTTACAGAAGAATGCTTAGAATACCTTGGACAGCCAAAAAGAGCGACCAAGAGGTTTTGAAAGAGGCGGGAGCCCGAAGACAACTTATCACAGACATCAGAAGGAGACAGTCATCATTTTTCGGCTATGTTATGAGAAGAGGGAAAATAGATCATATTATGACCACTGGAAAGATCTGTGGAAGGAGGGATATAGGAAGACAACGAGAGAAGATGCTTGGCAGTCTTGTTGCATGGCATGGAGGTGTGTCGACACACGAACTGATACATGCTGCAAGAGATCGCAGATTATGGAGAGACATGATCGCCCACGCCAGTCGGCAGGGCACCTGGTGATGATGATGATGATGTTGATGATATATGTATAATAACATCCTTTATCAGTATAAACATGTACTTTACCACTGGGGTTTCCCTACAATCTGTATCCAAAGTTGGCCCGACACAGACAACATCAAATACTTGTACAGGCCTTGGCGATGCATCAGGGAAATATGATTTTCATTAGTTAATCAAAAAATAATTTACCCATATTCTCGTGAATTTCCCTTGGTGAATAGGGTAAGTTTCAATGAAGCTATATAAAAGTTGACAAAGAATCTTTGTTGTCCATCTTTTCGCTTCTAGAATGACACCAAAATGCAACAATTTCCCGAACCAGATGCGGGAAAGATTCCTTCCATCAAGATAAGCGGTGGTTCGGCCACGGAAAATGGCTAAGGAAAAACACTCCCCATAGATTTACGATGGAATAAGGCTCAGTCTCCTATATCCTGACCCATACGTATTAAAGAAGTACTATTAACTAACGGTAGGTATAGTCCATATTTAAATCTAATAATTATCATAGAGAGTTGCAAGATATGGAGGCAACCAAGAGCGTAGGGGTGTTTTGCTGGCTGACATGCATAAACAAATATTGACCGACAAAGAATAAAAGGATTCGGCAATCTAGTGAGAATGCAGCCAGGCCAAAATGCATGTAAGACTTTTTAACAGCAGAACATATGGGATGAAGGCGAGAGTAAAACCAAGAAATATATAGATTATGGTGTAGCCGAAACCTGCAAAAAGGTGAAAAAATTCACCACCGAAGCCACCCGAGAAGCGAAAGACAAATACAGCAAACCATGACAGTTGGCCACAACCTGGTATCAGTGAGACGACAAACGAAGAAAAAGAAACAATTACTTGTGAAGACAACGTCTACACGTAGTTAGCAGGACCCTGTAACACCCCTCTGCAAATTTTCTATGGCGTTTGGGCTCAACTGTTTAAGAATTAACAGGCGAATTAGAGGCGAACATAAATATCCAAGCAGCTACGCCACCTTACCATGAATGTCTATCTGTCACATCTACACAATCTCAAATATGTCCACAGGTCAGGGCGGGCTGTCGCATGTCAACAACAAGGCCCCAGAGGCCGTCATGGCTCAGATGGAGAAGCGGGGATTCATAATTGACCAGGAAGGTGGAAATCAACTACGACAAGCCTCGAGGTTTTCTTGGTTTAAGAGCAATGTAAATGTGTACAGAAGGCAAAACCCAGACTCTTTTAGTGCTGACGATGTATAGAAGACTTTGTAATTTCATGAAGAGGGTAGAAGTAGAAGTATAATTTGACAGTAGGCGGGATCCGGTGTAGATTATAAAAATAATTCATATAAAAGATTCACGAATTTGCTTCATTTATGTAATTGTTACTATAGTGTCACGGGTAGTGAGCATACTTTGGTTCTTTTCTCCAGACCATGCTGGCGTGGTGGGTAATGAACAGGCAGACTGTTTTACTGGATCTGCACCACTGGGTGGTGAATTGATGCAGGCCAAGGCAAATTTGGTACAGACGGCGGCTTAAACAAGTAATAAAGTCAGTGAAGAAACTATATTATTATGGTCTGGAGAGAATGATGCACCTAGTGTGACCAGAATGTCTGGCTTGATCACTACCCTCAGAGGAAAGGCAAGACGGACACATACCCAGACTACAACTAGTACCATCATTATTAGAACTCTGCGCTGGCTGCTAAAGATAGGGACAGAGCATGTATGGGAATGCACTGAGTGTTGTGATGTCAATATTCTTGACTCAGCTCAACTCAGCTTGCTATTGTAGTATGCAATTATCTATCGAGACACAGTGAAATATACCAGGCAATAAATTTTGCAATAAATTCTCTGTCTTCTATTTTCAAATTTTCAACGGGGAAACAATGCTTTGATTATAATTCATTTATTTACTTCTCTCTTTTGTCTGACCTCTCGTGCAGAGAGGAGGTAGATGTACTCTTAGTTATTAATGAAAAGTGAGGATTGTCATCACATTATTCCGGGCAAATCCAAAGGTGCTCCTATCTCCGAACCAGTAGCTCAACAAGCACAAAGGGACTGATAATGTTCGTTATGCATGTCCGATGATGCCCTTGTAGAAATGTTTGTTTCTTAAAGTTCCAGGATACACGAGCATCTCCGTGAGACTGGACAGAGATTCGAAGTCATGCCTTTTGCCGTATTCGTCTTGGCGATATGTGCTGCGCATGGTATTGATGACATCGCTTGTGTCCAGTGCAGGGCCAGGCATAGGAATGGCATTTTCTGGATTTTGCAAGATATTTAGCTTTAACTAATTTAGAATATGATGTTTATTGTTTTGTTTTTTTAACTACATCCAGCTAACTTTTCTTGCTCTCGGGTTAAAGCCTATGGTTTTCAATTATTAACAGATAACTGTAAAACTTATCATGTTACTGGAAATGTTAAACTTATTATGCTAACTTCTTCTTCTCCACTCATCTCTTTGGTTGGTCTTCTCTGTCCATATGGTAACATCAAGTCTTTGAATTTCAGTCTGGATGTTATCTCTCCATTGTCTTCTTGGTCTGCCTGGTGGTCTACGACCATTTAAATACCTTATGCATTCAGTTTTTAACTCTCTGTCCTTTGAAATTCTCTGAGTATGTCACAACCATTTCAGTCTATTAACCCTTTTGATGCAGTGATCAGATGGATTTAAACAAATTATGAATTTCATTGCTGCTTCTCACGCTCCATTCTCCACCTTCGTAAAACTCCATTTCATCATAAAACAGAACATGTTTATTGTGTTTTTGTTTATGTTGTTGTCGTCTAAGATTTGGTCTTAAATATTTGTGAATTAAAGTATGGAAGGGGGAAATTATATAGCAGATTTTTTTTTTTTTTCAAATTCAAACAAAAAGTGTATATTATTTGTGCTAATTTGTTGGAATTAATTCTGATCAGGTACCACAATATTTGATTCTTTGTTGTATAATAACAATTGTTGTTTGGTTTTTTTTTTCTAGTCTTTTTTATTAAACACATTGGTCATTGGCTAACATATAGACATACTGTACAACGCATCAACAGTGTAGGGAAAGAGAAGTAGCCCAAATATACAGTAGCCCAAATATACAGTAGCCCAAATATACAGTAGCCCAAATATACAGTAGCCAAAATATACAGTAGCCCAAATATACAGTGTTTCCCATGAAACAAGACAGGATCTTATAATAATTTTCTCTTCAGGGTGCTCTTAATCTTTTTTTTTTTTTTTTTCCATATTTAAAAAAAAAAAAAAAAAAAACACCTGCGTTGATTAAAATACAATCATATCATCTTCTTCTGACTCTCCAAATCATGAATTCGGCCTCAGTTTCCCGCCACTCAATTTCCTGAAGAAGCACTGTCCTGGTCTTTTATTCCAACTGACGATCTTAACTATGGATTATTTTTGGGCTAGGGATTATTTTTGGGGAAGACCGTGGTATAGTTTATCTGAACCTGAAACAGTTCAGCCATACTAAACTCAATATTAGTTTAAAAATACAATGCTTCCTGGATAAATGGGCAGGATTCGACCAGCACGACGGTGAACACGAGGTATGTGAGAACCCCTTATAGAGCCGGAACAGCTGAAGAACTAAATCCGTGAGCTATAGAGTTTTTAGAATGGCAACAATACAGAAACTAAGGCACCATTGAACACATGTGCATTTCTATAGTCTTTGGAGGAAATGCTGAAAGGAAACATGGACTAGGGTCAGGATTTGTCATCAAGAAATAGATATGGTAAATAACTGCATTTTGGAGCTGACCAATGATAGGACCAGAAAGCTACGTACGAATGAAACGAAAAATGGCAATACTGTCATAATGATTAATGCACACGCACAAACTGAAGATATGAAGATGATAATAAAGCCCATTCTAATATTGACTTTGAAAGAAAAATACTGAGGAAACATGACAGATAATGATAATACTGACTGTTTTGAGCGATTTTATTTCAGAAAAAGGTAGAGCACATCTTCTTACAGTCCACGCCCTGTGGTAGTCACGTCTGTCACAACAGTCCATCTCGTGTATTTTGCTCATTTCCTTTACCGATCATCTTCCATGTCATGATGTCAGAACGTACAGTGTCCTTTCTCCCAGTCTCCCTCTGCATTGTTTCTCCTGTAACTGTCCCACTGTCACCGTACACTCTAGTGTTTCTTCTTCTCATAACATGACTAAAGAATGTAGAGATTGTCTCCTTTTGGTGTGGGTAATTTTTTTTTTCTCTTCGTGTGTTCGTATCTTTCAAGACGTCTTCATTATTTAGAAATAAAAAATACAGAATATATCTAGGGTGTTCTCGTCATTCATCTAATCGGCTCTGTCAGTGATTGTGCACAAATTAATTCATGAGGATTGCAAGCGATCTTCTTCTTCTTTTTCGCGTTCACCGGCTGTAAACTCTGGTGGAAGGTTCTGGTTGTTCATCCACTTCTGAACTGCAGTCCTGTTCCAGAACCTGAGTCTTGCGTGTGCATCCGTTTCACAGATCTGACTCCTTTGTACGCAGACTGCTGGTTCCTTGCCTCTCAGGCAGATGCACTCTGACTTTAAAGGAAGCTCCCAGTTAGACGACTCATTACATGCTTTTGGGTAGACAGTAGGTCTGTTCTTGTTTTCCCTATAATAGGGCCCCGGAACCCACAGGGGAGTTTCAAGCTATGAAAGCAGAAAACATTGGATGAGGACTGGCTGCGATCCTTTGAGAAGTTGCTGTGATTGTCTCTACGCACACAGTTTAGAGTCTGCAATTTATACAACGCTTGGAGACGACACGAACAATAATTTCATATACAACCAGATCTATATTAATAAAAATGTTATTTTTCCGATGTTGCTAGCTAAAAACTCGGAAACTACTGAACCGATTGCTTTTAAATTTGCACACAAGGTTGCCTTTGACTCCAAGAGCGATTTTTTGTCAGAAAATCGCACAAACCACGAACGACGTAGCTCCAGCAACGGTCAAATCATTATTTGTTTCGTTGCCGGTCCGGATTTAAATTTAGTTGGCCATATTTGACTGCTGAGCTCTTTTTGAAACTGCGTTATTATATAATTTCATTTCCACTACCATTGGTTGCGTAGTTGGTAGCTGTTCTGCCTATAATACGGGTGACCCGCGTTCGATTCCCAGCTAGGTGATATAATTTATTTTTTTTAGCCCTAAACTGGGCGGCTGGCACGTTACATAGTGGTTTATGGCTAGGCTGCGATATCTACTCCTTTTTCGGTTTTGGGGTTTACAGTTAGCCTGCGACAGCGGCGACTTGATGCGCAATGGTCATGTCACGGGTAATCTTCGTTCGCCCTCGAGAGGGCCGTTGGCACGTTGTGTTGTGGTTTACAGCTAGGCTGCGATATCTGACCTAAACTCTTCAGTCATCGGTAGTATAGTTTTAAGTATGTCATCGTTCATGCGGGTGACCGGTGTTCGATTCCCCGCTGGGTGATAATTTTTCTTTTTTTTTCCTTAAAAGGGTGGTTGCCACGTTGTATTGTGATTTACAGCTAGGCTGTGATATCTGCGCCCTTCACAGACATCCAATTTCAGTCCTAATTAGCCTCCCCGCGACGCTTTTCGATCAAAAACTATTCGGCGATGACAGAAACTGTTAACTAAGACGGCTTACAGTCCAGTTTAGTTTGGGTGGACACGGATGCCAGGGTAAGTTAAAAATTGTTCCCTCGGAGAGGGAGAGATGACGGGTGTGGGGTATTTTTCTCCGCTATTCGTGAGTATAGTGTACTTTTTACTGTGGGTTCTATCACTGGTTACATGATGACGTTTTTAACTCCTCTTTTCTACACCGACCTACACAGACTGTGGTGACATTTTTGTTGTTGTTGTTAGGCTGCGATATCTGACCTAAACTCTTCAGTGTTCGGTAGTATAGTTATAAGTATTCTACCCTTCACGCGGATGACCGGTGTTCGATTCCCCGCTGGGTGATACTTGTTCTTTTTCCCTTAAAAAGGTGGTTGCCACTCTGTATTGTGGTTTACAGTTAGGCTGCGATATCTGCCTATCATGCAGGTGACTCGCGTTCGATTCCCCGCTAAGTGATATATTTTTTTCTCTGGGCCCTTAACTGGGCGGCTGGCACGTTTTGTTGTGGTGTGGTGTATGTCTAGGCTGCGATATCTACGCCTTTTTTCTGTTTTGGGGTTTACAGCTAGCCTGCGATATCGACGACGTCATGCTCAATGGTCATGTC